ACCATGCCCGGCCTTGAGCATGCCACGTGGACAGGCACACACAGCATTTGCTTTGCTCAGCCGGAAAGTGGGGAGCTCTGCAGTAGGGTTACTTCTGGGTCCGCGTGGTTCACTCCCGTCTCACGTGCTTCCACCCTCAGAAGGCTCAGGGCCTGTTCCATCCCGCCCTGAACCAGGTCGGACTCCGAGGCAGCCCCCGGGAGGGGCTGGAGGGCCTTGCCCACCCTGGCAGGCACCCCGTGTCTGGGGAAACCTCTTGGAAGACCCCAGCGTGTGCCCCCACTGAGGGCCCATGTCCTGGAAGATAGGGAAGCCCTTCCAGGCCGGGCGGGAAAACATCTGGGAACCCCCATGATTGGCCATTGTTGAGCTTGGGGATAGATTTGCATGTTTAGGGAAAAGGGAGAATTCTCTTGCAGAAGTCCCGTTGAGCAGGGGTGGGGGGCTCGGGCGGGGGGGAGCCTAGCTCACATTGGGGCACCTCCAATCTGGCCCCTGGCTCAGCGTGTGACCCTAGACAAGTCACATCACCCCCCAGGGCCCGAGCCCCGAGCTTGAGAGCAGGACTAGGAATGCTGACCCCAGAGGGTCGCTCCGAGGGCTGGGGCGGCTTCAGTCGCACAAAGCCCAGGTCCCGGCACGTGGCAGGGGCGCCGTAAATGGCTGCCCCTGTTGTAATTGTTATTGTTGTAAATGGTAATCACCGTTTCTATTGCCAGTTATCATTATATTTTTGAGTTTGTGAGAAACAGGGAGCCTAGTTTTGGTTTCGCTAGAAAGGGCCCCTGGAATGCACCCCCCCACCCTCACCCCCGCCCCACAGGTGGCAGGATAGTGAGCCCCAGCGATGTTTTCAAGGGGTGTTTTCAAGGGAGCCCGTCCTGCGCTGGCAAAGTCTGGGCTCTCCTTGTCACGGGGACTCGGCGGGAGGCACTGGACACCCCAGGTGCGCCCAAGTCCCCCGGGGTGTGCCCACGGAAGCGGTACCCCTTCCTTTGAGCACCGCGCCTGCCTGGCTGGCCAGGCGGGTGGCAATGTGGTGGGAGGAATTCAGGATGGGCGAGCTCATTCTTCCTGGGCCCGATCCGCACGCACGCGGACCAGACGCCGGCCTCTGCCGCGGGAGGAATTTGTCTCCGAGGGTCTGGGAGACCCAGCGAGATCGCCCCCCTCCGCAGGTCTTGTTGGAACAAGGACGAGCCCTAAAAGGCACCGGCCATGCTTTCTGATGTTCTGGGGCCAAAGAGGAAGAAAAAGCAACAATTGTCTCCGAGCGAAGACAATGGACCTTTTATGTGAAATATTTATTTTCAGGGCCGACCCGGGTCCCGTCGGCTGGGACCTCGGCGCTCGAGTGTCTGGGTAGCGCAGGCCCTAGGAGCTCAGTCAGGGACAGAGATTTATAGAAAAGGAGGAAAGATGGTCCCCCGACCCATGGCTCGGGGGAAGTTTCGGTGGGAACACCTGGCTTTCTTTGTTCGGTGGAGTTTAAACTTTCACAAGTTTATTTTGTTTTCTTCTGTGGCTTTTCTTCTGAAAGGCCGCAGGGGCACGAAGCACCGGCAAGGTAGCCAGGGCTGGGGTCGAGGCCGGAGGGGGCCTCCCTCTCCCCAGGCCCCGCTGGCCTTTGTCTGCTGGGGGGGGGGGGAGGTGTCGCCGAGTGGACGTGAGGAAAACAGGGACTGGAGGAGAAAGGGTCTGTCCCCGGGTTGGGGGTGGCCGCAGAGAGGGGGTTTTGGGCGGTATTTGTGATTCTCTGGTATTCTCTACACCTCCCCCAATCCCATTCTCTGATGAACTTGGGAGTGGCCTGCAGGTCCCGGAGACTCTAGCCTGACCCGTGAAGCCACACGCAGCCCTCAGACCCGCTGCCCTGCTGGAGAGGCTGTGTAACCCCGGAGGAGCCTGGCCAGAGTTAGCGCTGGACGGAAGTTTGCCGCATTCATAGAATGAACAGAATTCCCTCTGAGGCCTGCCCGCCGGCCGGCCGGCCACCTCCCCACTCCTGGCTTGGCCCCTGGGGATGGTGCCGAAGCAGCTCGGCCAGGTTCCCGCTAAATCCACAGCCTCCACGCAGCCGGGAAGGCGCCCTGGGGAGGGGGGCTGGGACCCCAGGCTCAGGTTAGGGCCTCTGGCAGGAATTCATCCAGATGGGGCTTGTAACGAGAG